AGGCACTCCCTAAGGCACAAAAGTGGTTTCCAAACTCTGTTTCCCATTAGAACAATGTCAGGAGTGTCTGAGAGCACCAGGCGGGCACCGGGGTTGAGCCTCGGGAGGGTGCCCGAGTCTCGGGAGACAGGTGCCGCCGTGCCTTCGGGCTCGACCCGCTCTTGGTCGCCAGGACAGGCGCGAGGAAGGCCCAGAGGCGCCTCCCTCTGCTGTCAGCCGGCTGCCTGGGCCTTACACAGCCTTATACGGCCCAGGAGAGGCTGACTCCAGAGGTTCTCAGGACAGGGCACCTGCATGTTTAAAAAGAAAGCAAAAGCAACCGGGCGACATGGGATGAAAAGGCTTCTGCAGAGTGGAGGAAAACATCATCACCACAGAGCACAGTGGACAACGGCGAGAGGCCACTGCATCTCGCACGGCGGGCCAGGGGTGAGCACCCAGGCCACAAAGATGTCACGCCTCGCCAAAACCTCCCGTAACCCATTTAGAAATGGACAGAAGGTCTTGAGACAATTCTCCAGAGGGGACAAACCATGGCCGAAGGGCAGGGGAAACGCTTGTCAAAGCTCATCAGCAGAACTGCCTCACCACGGCCGCCACTAGAAGCCTCACAACAGCCAAACACATTTGAGAAGTTCCCCAGCTAAGTGTCGAACTGGAAGAACCCATTTAGAATAGGCAGGTTTGCGGGGCTTGGGCTACCCCTCTTCCTGTCCTATAACAGATTTGGCGACCACGAAGATTTAGGACAGAGCCATCCGTGGTTAGTCAGCCCCATGGGGCAATTGGGCTACCATAAGCGCAAATGTGATTTTTGGTTTCTCCAGTGTGTTTGTTTCATATGTCGATTTGCTGTTGAAAAACTGGCTTGGGTTTTGTGAAGATTCTGTGTGTTTGTGTGTAATTTTTAATTTGTGGAGATTGTTCTGTGCCAGTTTTACTCAAAAGATTAGGCAGTACGTTGCACCATGTGGCCAATCAAAGATGGCGTCTGAGGCCACTTGGCTGGCTCTTGTAAAATTCAGAGGTTCTTGTTGCTAGGACTTTGGAACTTTTTTTTTTTCTTTCTTTTTGTAATCTCTGCTATCTCATTAGCATTTCTAAAGGCAATAATGGTTCTTCAGGGGTATGTTGCTTTGTCTTTGGCTACTTCCTGCTCTCTGCCTGATGGATTTTGCAAGCCAATTGTGGAGCAGTGGTGTTTAAATTAGCAAATGTATGCCTGGGTGTTAAGGAAAGAGTAGCCTTAAGCAGTAACTGGTAATTGCTGGTATCCTTGATGGATTCTTGGAGATAACTTGAATTTTTGCAAAGTCCGGATCAGAAAAATTAACAAGATTTTGTTTGAGTCTGAAAGGATTTGCTACTGTGAATTTTGTCGACACAATTTGTTTTGGGCATGTTTGCCATTTTGAATCCTGGATTTGTTCAATTGCTGGTGTAAGACAAGATTCTAAGTTTCTGCTTCCTACTGAGGAAGGTCTGTTGTGGAAAGCACTCTTTAGGGTGCATCATGTAACTGTACCAGGTTTTCATACCTGTGTTGTTGTTGTCCCTCCCTAGTGTGGGGGAGGTGTAATCTGTGCTTAGATGTTTAATCTGCTCTTTCAGCTTCTGTCCCAGAGTGGCTAACAGAAGTAAGGAGATGACTCCTTTTAATTGAAAGTTAATTACTGATATTTTGATTTTGCTTTTTCAGGTTCTATTCCAGGAAACCCAAGGAGTGCCTGCTTGGTGGCTAACAAGAGATGACTCCTTTTGCTTAAAAGTTAACTTTTATTCTTTCAGTTGCTGTACAGAATACCCCAGGATTGACTTCTAATAAAAAGTCTTCAACACTGAAAACCCTAAGGTGATAAACAAGGTCATGTAACTCTTGTGATTAATAAAACTTTTCCTTCCTATTTCCAAAGTCTTAGGTTTGCAGGATGACAACTGGAAATTTTTCTGCCAGCAACACTCCACATTTTTTTTGGACTTTGACATTTTTTTTCTGAGCCTACGGAGTAAAACTGCAGTTACATAACATATTCTACGTGGCATAACTAAAAAAACTGTCTTTGTCTATATTTTGTATGTCTGTATGTCCTTGTGTCTGTCTTGGCCTAGAGGTTGAAAAATTGGTATACGTGGTGCCCATAGACGTTGAACAAAAAAAAAGAGTCTCCAGTTATGAGAAAAACAAAAAGTTATGGTTTGATTGTCAACATTGTGCTACTGAACTAAGCCGGTGCCTTCATAGAGACTGAATATTGTTGTTTCTGTTAATTTTCTGATATTTATGGCAAAGCTTCCCAGAAATCTAAATTCAAGTACAAATTTGGTAGCCTGTCATTTGACTGATGCAAGTAAATTTTGTGTAACATCAGTAGAGCTCCTGAGACACTCCACGAAGTTTCTCCTTTTCCTCCTGGGAAGGCATTAGATGAATTTGTTCTATTTGGCTTTTACCTAATGAAGTAAAACTGAAAGGGAAGCATTGTCACTTGGGAAAATGGTAAAACTTGGGTATGTACAAAATGTTAACAGTGGTTTTCTAAAATGTGTATAAAAAAAAAAAACCTCTCAGTATCTGGTATGTATGTAAATTGTCATTGGTGATTGTCACCTTGTAATATTGTATAATTTAATTGTTTCATAGCTACAGAAATTGTTTCTGGAAATATAGGGAGAAAAGGTCTCAACAGATTCCTATTGATGGAACTGTTGAGAGTAAAAACTTTCCTACAAAGGACTGAATAGACCTGGAAATACACCTGACATTTACTAAGTGTTCTTTGACATAATACTGGTGATTTTTTATGCATTTTGTCTTGAATCCACAAAGTTTTGTTTTGAGTAACCAGGATCTGCAGCAAGATTGCAATTTTTTTTCCAGCAAAGCTAACTTGTCACATTTTCTCTCCCCTTGATACCAACACGGCATACAAATAGTGGTAGTAATTTTGCTACTTATCTTAGAGTCTCTTTTTGCATAACTTACATAGGGATTTTGTCTGTTTTAACAAAAAATTGGACGTGAGTTTGATTGTGTGGCTTTGTGTGGAGTTCTTCCAGAAAGTTGAAAAAGAGCTGAACCAAGAAGAGGAGAACCTGTTTGCCTTGTTTGTAGGGTTCCAGAGACCTCCAAAGAAGGTGAGGAAGCTTGCCTCCATTGGCAGGACTGGACAACCCGGCCAACGAAAATGCCCTGGTACCCTCGAGAAGAGGAAAGCCCAGGTGGAGTCTGATGAGACCAACTTTATACCTGAAGCCTACATCGACTGGATGCCACCGGTTCGCTCTGATCCTGTATGGAGTATTTCAACAAAGCCAGCTAAAAATTGCTGTTAGTTATTTCTGCCCTGTGATTTTATGCAAAAATAGGAAAAATGGTTTAAAAGTAGATTTAATTTGCAAACTTTTGCTATGCTGTTAAAGTTTGGGATCAAGGTTGAGAGAATTCGTTTTTGCATAAGTTGAACCATTTTAACATTCTTTCCCTGTGATTTTGATATATTTGCTATCTTGTTTTAGCCAATGCTCCAAATTTTTTCTTTTGGCTTGGATAATGGACTATTTTTAAGTAATGAAACTCATACTGGACATTCATGGACAATGCTGCTGACTAATTGTTGCTTCTCTTACACACATTGCAACCCTGAAAAAAGACTGTCTCCTAAGACTACACCCTGAGATTGTGCCACCATAGATATGGTGGAATAAAAATTAAAAGGGGGGATTGCAACAGAGTGGTCCCCAGGAAAGGGGGAGGTTCCCTGCCCCACCCAAGGGAGGTGGAGCTGAGCAGGGAGAGGAGAAGCTGCAGAAGAGACTGAGGAAGGAAGCAGGATGGAGCCAGGAGACCTGGAGGAGGCGCATGGAGCCCAGAGACACGTGAAGAAACTGCGCTTGTCTTTTGGTCGTGGACGGGGTGACACAGATGTGGGGGAGACCCGTGGGGAGGTGACCATGGCAGCTTTTATCTTGATGTTGATTTTGCTCTTTTCCTTCCGGGCTTGTCCGGTTGTTTGTGACCCTTTTCTGTGTGTCCCCACTGGAAGATGCTTTAGACTCGTGGCAGGCTTTGGGGCCTTGCTCTGGGCCGACCCCATATGGATGGACTTTTACCCACGAGGGGACGGGTAACTTTGGGTGCTTCATTTAGAAACTAGACTATTCGCCTTACCTGTATTGTTTCCTAGTTTTATTAAAGTTCCTTCCCATTAAAGTCTCCTATGTTTTGTGTTGATGCGGCGGATGGCAGAACCCATGTAGAATAGGCAGGTTTGCGGGGCTTGGGCTACCCCTCTTCCTGTCCTATAACAGAACGACTATGCTCCCAGCCGTCAGCAAAGGCAGGGGGAGGCAGGCGTGACCCGCTGGCGTGTCTTCTGCTTCCCTCTTTGGCCGCTTCCCGTGGTGTCAACACCACGGCGTGGCCGCCCAGCCTGCCTCATGGGGCCGAGGTGTCTGCGTGGGAGCGGGGCTGGGACAGACAGGCGCTGTCCTCCCCCACCTGCCCGGAGGGGGCTGCTTCGAGAATGGCCAGTCCCCAGCCCCCGGCTGCCTGTCTGAGCCCAGCCCTTCTGCAGACCCCGCGCGCGCCAGGTAAAGGCCGGGGGCATTAAGGTCACATGTCTGAAGTCCCCACGTCCGCAGCGGGGAGCTCAGCCTCCATCTGTGCTGAGACAGGGATGAGTGTGTGTGGGGTGTGTGTGCGCGGGGGTGTGTGTGTGTGGTGTTTTCAAGGTCCCTCCACAGTATTTACCGAGCAGACAACAGGGGTGACCACCTGGAAGATGCCCTGGGGTGGGCTCAGGGGTCAGGAAACAAATCAGGGCTGTGCCCCGTGCCCGGGGAGGGGCTGCTGGTGCCCTCCAGATGGCGCTTAGAGTGGGAGGCAGCCCCGTCTGGAGCGCAGCCGAGTGTGCCCATCACTAGACTCTCCCCACATTCAGCCACATTAAAGAAAAGGCGCGCAGCGGGCCGCTCCCACGGCCCAGCGCTGACATACCCACCTTGGGGCCTCGCCCTATGCCCCGCGGCTCCTCGAGAGGCCAGACGCCGTCCTGCGCGCCTTCCCGCCAGCTGCCCGGCGCGTCCCGGCTCCTGGGTCGGCCCGGAGCACCTGAGACCAAGGGGAGAGCAGAGCAGTCAGACCCCAGGGCTGGAGGCCAGCAGCGAGCCGCACCAGAACCCCTGTGCACTGCGCCTCCAGTCGAATCGCATATGCTCCTGCCCCGTCTCTGTGCCGCTTTCCTTCCTCCCTCGACACCCCAAGCAGTGCCCCCTTCCAGGGCAGCAGCAGCTTGCATGATGAGGGTGGGCAGCCCCGCCTGGCACCAATTCCCTGCCCCGCACTGTTCCAATGGCAGCGCCCAGGCGCGCAGTGACCAGAACCAGAGGCCAGGGCAGGGGACAAGCTCCATAGCAGACGAAGGGGCGATCTGGGCTTCGGGGCCTGAGTTTCTCTAGGAACCTGCTTCAGGGCAAAGCTTCATGGCAGATAACAGCCCCCACAAGCCTCCCCTTGGACCAGCGCCTCCCCGCAAAGCCCAGGAGGAACACGCCCTGGGTGGAGACCCAGGTAACCCGCAGTGACGTGTGGGGCCTCCAAGAGGCTCGCCCACCTCTACTGCCTCCCGGGGGCCCCTGGCCCACTCCCCGCTGTGCCGCCCACGCTGTCCCCCTGCACCGTAGCTGAGCGTGGGCAGCTTCTCTCAGGGTGACTTCCGTGATGTGCCTGTGCACTTGCGCACAGACAGAGGACTAGAGCTTTGAAGAAAACATCACTGGACAACGATTTCCAGACCTGCTCCTGGTGCTGCTCTGCGGACGCATGTCATCTAAGCGCCCGAGCCGCTCCGGGCCGTCATGGCACAGCGGCCTGCGCGGCGGGAGCACAGCACGGGGACGTGAATGGAGACCAGCAGCCGGGACGTTTATCTCGACCGAGGCTGCAGCCGGGCATGCAGCGGGGCACAGGCTGCGTCCGGCCCGGGAGCCCCAGCCACGGGCTCTGCCTGGCTGGTGGCGGGTTCCCAGGGGAGAGCCAGCCCCCCGAGACAGCGCCACCGGAGCTGCTGCCCACCAGCGAAGGGTGGGGCTGAGGGCCCAGAGGAAGCTAAAAGGAACCACAAAGAGGAGACAGAGACACGCAAAGAAGCTGCGCTGGCTTCTCAGCCTCGGGCCTGCGCCCAGGACTCGGGGGTGGGAAGGAGACACTTGGAAGAGACGAGGTGAGACCCGTGGGGAGGCTGACCAGGGCAGCCTTTGTTTTGATTTTGCTTCTTTCCTCCCAGACTCGCCTGGCCCCTCTGCCCCTTCCTGCGAATCCCCCCAGGAGGCGCCTTAGACGTGTGGCAGCTTTTAGGCCCCAGTGGCCCTGCTTCGGGCCGCCCCTGTCTGGTGGTTGACCCACGAGGGACGGGTGACTGGGTGTTTCACTGGGAAGCCGCAGCCTTCTCCTCACTCGGCTGCCCGCTGCTCCTCTCCCGACTGCGGGTCTTGTGTACTAAGAGCTCGGTGTCTCGAGGGGCGGATGGCAGAACCTATTTAGAGCATGTGATATTTGGGGTCCTGGGGTGACCGCAGTCTGCAACCATGAAGGGGCGTAGGCCATGACCTCCTCAGCCCCGTGGGGAAAGGCGGCTCGTCCGTGGCACCGGCTGCTGTAAGCGCAAACGTGGTCTTTGTTTTCCCAGCGTTTGTTCAGATATGTGAAGATTTGTTCCTGCCCTTTGTTAGGGGGAAAAGGCTGTCCCAAAGCAAATTCCATACAGGCTTTGTGGACTCCACCCCCACCCCAGGTCAAAGCCAAAGACACTGGGAACTCCACATCCCATCCCCACCCAAGGGAAGGTGGCTGGGACCTGAGGGTGGGGTTAAGCAGCCAGGTGGATACAAAAGGCAGACACGTGGGCTTTGGGGGCTCCCCCATTTTGGCTCTCCACCAGCTAGCAGCGTCCGGCCAGCTCTGAGAGTGACTTTGGGTTTCCAGGTCGTCGGATCGGGTAGGACGCATTAAAGACTTTATTTCCCTATTTTCTCCCTGAGTTGTACATTTTCCTTATTTCTTTTTCTCTTGTAAATAAACCTTTTATTAACCCTTTTGTGTGTGTCTGTAGTATTCATAAGTCCCTTTAAAGCGCGCGGGTGAGGACCCACAGCCAGGAACCCGTTTAATATCGGGCTGGCTCTATAACACCTTGACTAGAGAAACCGGCTTGGGCCTGGTGGGAACCGTGAAACTGTGCAGTCTGCTTCTAGTCATGACTTCAGACCAATTTTGTGGAAACTGGTCTGTGCGGCAGGCAGCAGTTTTGCTCTAAAGATGGCAGTAAGTTGAAACCACGTGGCCAGACCAAATACGGCGCCTGCCTCTAAGGCCTGCTTCCAAGATGGGGCTTGGGTCCGCACGGCCACTGCCCTGAAGCTCACAAGTTTTTTTGATGATTTTTTCCTTTAGCGTTGGTCTCCTATTAAGGTTATGCTTTTGTTTGTTAGATAGCATCCTCTGTTAGCACAAGTTCAGTTCTGTGACTATGAACTTTTGTTCGGGATTCTGCTGGCTTAGAGGTTTAACAAGCGATTCTGAAGGTAGCGTGGGGTTCTGTAGTGACTCTGGGCTTTTGACCGTGACTATTCCCGATATGGGCCTGAGGGGATTTTGCAAGCTTACCTTGGAGCAAGGATGGCTTGGATTAGCAAATTTATGCGTGGGGGCTAAGGTGAAAGACTTTAATTTCTGGTAGCCTTAAAGGATTCTTGGAGATACTTGGGTTTCTGATAAGAATTATTAGAGTGCTTCTATCTGGATTAAATTTGAAGGGGTTTGCTACTGAGAATTTTGTGTCTACACTGTTTTTGGGCATATTTGCCATATGCATTCTTGGATTTGTTTGAATGCTGGTGAAAGACAAGATTTTAAGACTCTTCTTCCTACTGAGGAAGCACCCTAGTGTTTTAGAAAGCACTCGCTTGATTAAAAGCCCTCTGGGTGCCAGAGAAGGCCGCGCAGAACCTCCCGGTTGGTGGGCAGCCTTGCGGTGGTTCTGCATGGGTAACTACCAGGTTTTGATACCCACAGTGTCCCTCTCTAGTTTGGGGGACTTGATTTATACTTTGATTCTGATTTTGCTGTTTCAGCTTCGTTAAAGGAAACCCCAGGACTGCATGCTTTGGGGGTTAACAGAGGAGATGACTCCTTTTGAATTAATTTTATTTTGCTCTTTCAGCTTCTGTACAGGATACCTCAGGACTGACTTCTAAAGCGAAGGCTTGAACACGGAAAGCCCTGACGTGATAAACGGCCACCGGCCTCATCTGTGATTGCTCTGGCTGAACTTTCCCTTCCTGTTTCCAAAGTCTTAGGCACGTAAGAGGACAACTTTCTGCCAGCAACACTCCAGTTTTTAGTTTGATTTTATTCCATGGAAAGAACGTAATCTTGATTTTTTTCCTGAGCCATGAATAAAATCACAGTTGTATAAGGTGTTCCAAGCGGGCTAATGAAAAAGGAACCGTGTCATATAATCTGTGTCCTCCCTCTGTATTTAATTGTTTGGCCTCTAGAGGATATAAAATTGGTATACATGGTACCCATAAAAATTCTGAGCAAAAATGTAATGGGAACCGGTGTAAGTATTTCCAGGAAGTATAATCTGGGATAATTTTTGGTTAAGGGGAACTAATTTGAAATTTAATGGGTTGCTTTGAAACATGTATGCAATTATATGTACTTTTTGGGGTAATATTTACAGCAAAACTTCCCAGAAATCTAAACTGAAAGGAAAATTTGGTTGTTTTTCATTTGATTTGAGCAAATTTTGTGGAACCTCGGTAGAGCTCCTGAGATACTCCATCAAGTTTCTCCCTTTGCTCAAAGGAAAGACATGAAGAGAATTTTGCCTATTTGGGTTTTACCTAGTAAACTGAAACTGGAAGGGAAGCATTGCCTCTTGGGAAAAATGTTTAACTTGGATATATAATAAATACCAGTAGTCTACTAATACTAATACTGGTGGTCTAAAATGGGTATATAAACCTTTAATGCCTGCCATGCAAACTGTCAACTCTGACTGTTGTCCTGCAATATTGTTGGTTATTTCGATGCTTGGACATCTTCAAAAACTGTTTCTGAAGAAATAAAAAGGAGAGACCTCAGCTCATTCCAATTGATGGAACTTCTGAGAGAATTTCCTACAAAGGACTGAACGTATTGCTGGAGACCAACATGATTTTTGATACAGATTTTTTGTATTTTGTTTAGACTCAAAGAAAATTTTATTTTGGCTGTCCAGGGTGTGCGGCAATGATTCATTTCTGTAAACAGAACTTGCGTTTGCATTTTCTCTCTCCCTGACAACAACATGATATGAAAAAGTGGCATTAATTTTTATTATGCATAGCAATGGGTCTATTTTTGCATAATATCAATAGAGAATTTTATCTCTTTACACAAAAGAACCGGGAATGTTTTATTATATGGCTTTGATGGAAATTCTTCCAGAAGTTGAATGCAAACTGAGCCAAGAGGAGAACCTGCTGCTTTGCTATAGGTTCCACAGACCCTCCAATGAAGGTGGGGCACTCGCCTCCACTGGCAGGGTGAGGACGCCCCAGAGAGAAAGCCCTGGGGACCTTGAGAAGCGGAAACCCCAGCTGTGGAGTCTGGTAAGACTGTGGCCTTGACCCCGAAGCCTGCACAGACTGGCTGCTGAGAGCGTCCTGTAGTCCCATATGGGGTATTCCAACAAAGCCAACTACCATGGATTGTTGCTTGGTTATTCTACCCTGTGAGTTTATAAAAAAATTGGTGAAGTTGATTGGAAATAGATTTAGTTTGCAAACGTATTCTGCTCAGTAGATAGGATTGGAATTAAGGTGGAGAGAAACTGATTTTAAACATGCTGAGCCAGTTATAAGATGTTTCTTGCCGGGATTTTCTAGTAGTCTGTTTGCTATTTGTTTGGCTAGTGCCTCCAGAAATATATATTTTTTCTGATTGGACTGATTTCCAAAACTGGAAGACTTTGCCTGGACCTCCATGAACAATGCCCTGTGATTGATTATTGTTTCTCCTGAACACAGTGGAGCTTGGAAAAGACTGTCCAGGTAGATATGGGGGAAAATGAAAGGGCATCAATTTTAGCAGTGTCAGTCAAAAAAAGGGGAGGTTCCATGTTCCCTGGTCCACCCAGTGAAAGGTGGGGCTCACGCCCCAGAGGAAGGTAAGAAGGACCCCAGCCAGAGGACCAGGAGGAGGCACGCGGAGCGCGGAGACACATCCTTCTGGGCCTTGGGCTGGACCAGGGACTGGGGGACGTGGAAACACTTGAAAGAGATGTGGGTGAGACCCATGGGGAGGATGACAAAAATGTAAGCACCTATTTAGAGCGTGCATGTTTGGGGGTTCCTGGGGTGCCCCTTCAGCTTGCCTGCTGATAATTACAACAGTTAAAACACAGGCCTGGGATTTATATAAGAAGGCTGGTTGCAGGCGGGACAGCATGTCACTTCACTAACAACACGTCTCCTCACTTTCTAAACGCCCTCTGGAATGGCACAGGGTGACCCGGGTCTGGAAGGCACCCCTGCATCTGGACAGCGCGGGTCGGACAGGGTGCCCACCCCCGAGACCATGACGCCTGCGGGAAGGCCGCACACCTCCAGCCCCAGACGCCAGGTGACCGGGCAGCGCGGCCTACACCCGCTGCTCAAACCGGAACCATGTGTGCGTGACCCAGAATCTGAGAAGAGTGAGAAAGTAAGCTTGAAAAAGCAGGCTATAAATTTCCAAAACAACTTCATACATCTACTGTTTTATATTAACTTTAAAGTCAATATGATTTTAAAATAAATATTTTTGAAATATATATACGCCAGCTGGAACGTGCAATACAGTCTCTTGTTGAATTTTACAAATTTCTGAGAGCGAAGATGTGAAAAGTAATTTGAAACACACACAATTCTCCCTGTGAGACAGTTTCTGGGGGCTCACACCGAAGGACAAGTCAGACAACGAAGCCGCGTTTCACCCGTTTGGAATGGAAAAGGAAAACCTGATCATGCGGAAATTGAACCTGCTCTTCAGGTAAAGCTGGTTAAAATTCAGTGTCTCCACCGCGGGCGCTGAGCCCAGCGGTGCGCGGGCAGCCCAGGCCCACCCCTGCGGCGGCCCTGGCCCGGCCACCGGCCACCGCGCGGCTCCGGCTCCGGCTCCGGCCGGGGGTCAGCGCTGGGCCCGGGCAGGCTCAGGGCACCGGGCAGGGGCCGGCGAGGCCGGCATCACGCGCCTCTCACCTGACAAGGCCGCTTCTAAAAAAGGGTTTATTTTGTAACTGAAATTGTCCAACGCGGCTTCATGAATAAATACCGAGAACCATTTCCCCGTGTGCCCCCGGGCGCCCTGGGGCGTGAGCCCCCCTGGCCAGCCCCCCGGACGGGCCCCGGCGGCGCAGCAGCCCCGGCTGGAGAGGCGCCCCCCGACCCCCGCGCCCCCCGGGCCGGCCGGTCTCCCGCACCCCGCCCCCGGGGACACCGGGCGCCCCGCTGTTGGAGGCGGGAGGCAGGTGATCACGAAGGGCCGGCCAGGCGGGCAGGGCGGACGCGCAGACCCTCCTCTCACCGGGTCCTCGGAAAGGGGTTCACGTACTTCCAGGGGCGCCTCCGGGCGGGCTCTCCGGCTGCTCCTGCGGCTCCTGGGCGGGCGGGTCTCCCCGCGGGGCGATGGCTGCTCCCGCATCCTCGGGGCTCCCCTGCGGGGCGGGGCCCTCCCGGGGCGGCGGCGGGGCCGGGCCAGCGGCTTCTGCGGGGCCGGGGGGCAAGGGGCTCCCCGCGCGGGCCCTGCCGATGCGCGAGAGGTCGCTGCGCCCCAGCACCAGCGCGCGCTCAAGCGGGGAGAGCCCGGGCGCGGGGGGCGCGGGGGGCGGCGGGGGCGCGGCGCGGCGCTCGCGCAGGTTGGCGGGCGAGAAGTAGTCGTCGAAGGCCGTGTCCGCGCCGCTGTCCGCGGGGAGCAGCCGCGACTCCTTGGGGGGCCGCCGGGCCCGGGGGCGGCCCGGGGTGATGGGGCCGCCCCGCCGGCGTCCTCGCGCCCGGCCTTGGTCACGCGGGGACCCCCGCAGCGCGGGCGGCCGGTGGGGGCACGGGTGGGGGCGCGGGGACACCAGGGTGGGGACCCCGGGGGTGCCCGGCACACTCGGGGCCCCGGCCGCTCCCCGGGGCTCCCCTTCCCGGCCTCCTCGCGAGGTTCCACAAAGCTCCTCAAAAGACGTGTGCAGGTCCCCGGCGAAGGAGTCATCTGGAAAAGATGAATAAGGGATCCCTGAGCAGACGGTTGGTCACATGGGGACTCTGTGCCCAGCAGGTCACACCCGCGGCACAGCTCGGGGTGCGCACCCCCTCGCTTCGAGGGGCGCCCGGCTGCGCTCCGGGGCTGGCGGGGATGGGGTCCGCACGGCCCACGCCGAGGAGATGCTCGTGGCCTCGCCCTCAGGACCCCACGCTGGGAAAGGCGCCGGCTGCTGCTCTCAGGCTGGGGGGGGGGGGCGCCCCAGAGCCCCCAACTGAGGCCTCACCCTTATCTACACTCACTGCCTGGGCCCCACTGGGTGTGGCTCTGGAGAGGCAGCGAAGCTGCAGCCTCTTTCCTCCGGGCCTGGCCCGGCCCCTGCAGAGCCCACCGCTGGGCCCTGAAAGCTCCACTCAGTGGTGACTGTGGTCACACAGCTGTTCCCACCGCGCCTCTCGCGGCCGGACACAGGACCCTGTGCAGTGGAGGCCCCGGCACTGGTGCCCCGTGGGGCAGGCTTGGCCGAGTGGACGGGGCGGGCCTCACACAGCTCCGGGGTGACAGGAGTTTGTGGCTAAGCACTCAGAGCTCTGCCCGGAGGGGAGCGCACCACCGGGCAGCTGGCGTCTCTATGGACACACAGGACACAGGTCAGCAGCTAAACAAGCTGAGACACTGCAGAGAGCTGGCAAGAAGGGCATGTGTCATTAAGAGCAAATTCTGAAGGTGGACCCCAAGGTCCAGGCGCACCCCTCCAGCAGTGACCTGGCACCAGCTGGCTCTCTCAGCAGAGGGACCGGGCCGACTCCAGCACCCGAGTCACTGGGCCGGAGTGGGGTTCCCCGGACACTGTGTCTGGAGCCCACAGGCGGAGCTCACCAGTGAGGTGGCGCCGGGCGAGTCCCCACGGCCGTCACGCAGGAAATAAGTGCATCAGCCGTCACTCAGAATGGAGATTTAGGTGAGTGAGTAAATCCTTTCGATGCACACCAGAAAGATGACAAGAACCCATAATGTGTGAAAAGGAGGCTCAGTGCAGGCTCCCTATGTCACCCGAGACACGTCACCGCCGTGGCCGTCATGCCGACATGAGGCAGCGTCGAGGAGCAAGTCAGGAGGGGGGCCCTGACCAGAGGGGGCTCGGCCCACAGACCGGGGCTGGAATAACGGCTCCCACCTCAGAGATACACACTGAACTCGGATTTAACGCTTGCCCACACACCGTACTCATTAGGTAACCGGCGCGCACGGCCGCGGCTCCCACAGCTCAGGGTGCGCCGCGTGCGCCGCTTTTCCTTGCTCCTCTCACTGTGCGCGCTCGGAGACGCGTGTCAATTAGCACGCAGAAGGGAACGAGGATTTAAAGAAAACAAGGGATGGATTCTGTGCCAAGAAAGCAAAGCCCTGGGAGAAAACCCACAGGAACCAAGGAGGAGGCTTAACTCACGCAGTTTCTCAAGCTTTCATTTTATTACAACACCCATTTTTTAAATTACAACACCTAATTTCAAGCTTTAATTAAGAATTCCAGTTTTTAACTAGCTGTTCTCATGAGAAGCTCCAAATAAGAAAATCATAATATTCTCAAAGCTTAAACACATTACGGAAAAGTCATTTTACCTGAACACAAATCATCATGTGAGGTGTTCACAGATGCTCCGCACGGAGAGCTGGCCTGGCCGTCACGGGACATCTCGGTCACTTGGGAAGCTGAGGACAGAATGGACACCTGTCATCAGCTACGCCGCCCTGCTGTTCCTGCCCAGACGAGCCGTCCGCTCACAAGCCACACACGCCGATGTGTCCCCGTGCGTCCCAACCCAGAGCTAATGCAAGCACCAGCACAGACCCTGAGTGGGGCTCACGCCTCTCCCAGCGAGGAGAATCTTGACACAGTGTCTGTCATGAGGCATCAAGACCCCAGTCGAGGGGCCTGGGCGACTGGCGTTGCCTGCGCGGGAGCTGGGAAGGGCACGAGCAGCCGCTGTCTGGGCTGTGCTTTTCCTTCGGGGAGGCTCCCGAGTGTGGGCAGCCGGAGCCGGAGAGGCTCTGCAGGGGGCTGCAGAAGGCTGCCGGCGTAAGTGAAGGTGTGCGCGTGAGCAGCTGCTAGTGCAGAGCGGGTCGAGGCCTGCACGCCTGGAGACAGCGCCAGGCCCAGGCCAGCCCTCGGCCGAGGCCTCTCGGGCCTGTGTCAGTGTGCCGAAGCAGCGAAACCCTAGGGGTTCCTCAGAAAACTCCTGGGACATCGGGGATGGCACAGGCCACGAGGCCCTGAGCGCTACCTTCAAGGCAGAGCACGCGACACACAAGAAAGAAGAGCAGGTCTCACATGCACAGGTGTTTTTTAAGGAGATTTAAAAGGGCTGTCTCCTGAGAAAACGTAAGCAAACAATTACAAAATGAGAATAAACCAAGAGGCACAATTTGCCATTGCTGGATCTGACGCTGTGCCGGTGCAGGTAACTGGCAGAACACCGCCCTGGAGTGAAGTTTAAAGCAAGCTGTCCACCGGCACCCACGTGACTGTGCTGAGACTGCTGAACACGCCTGAGGTGGAAGGAGAAATCAAGAGAGAAAACAAAAAGACCCTGAGACACAACAAAGAAAAGGCAGCTTGCGAAAAGCCACGATGCTGGGGAATCCGTGCTTCCAGGAGGATGCGGTCCCCACGATAAGCCTCCCTCACAAACAAGAAAAATCTCAAAGAACTTAACTTTGCCCTCGAGGAGCTATAAAAAGAACAAACGTTACCCAACGATAATAGAAGGCCAGAAGCGATAAAGATCAGACAGAAATAAGTGAAATGAGACTAAAGAGACAATAGAAAAGATGAAGGAAAAAAACATCAACTAGTTAAGACCAGGTTCTTTGAAAAAACAAACCACGTCCACGAGCCTTTAGCTGGACACAGCAAGAGCGGACGGTGCGCAAACAAATGCAGCCAGAGGGACAAGAGATGGCCCCGCAGCAGACCCGGCAGGACCCAGGGCCTGAGAGGACGGTGCGGACAGGACAGGGCAAGAGCTGGACAAGGAGAGGCAGCAGTGAACCCTGACTGAGTTGTCAAGAAACAGACAATCAAGGCCGATTACCAGGGAATGTGGTAACTTCAGCAATTTTAAAATCTCAAGATGGGAGAACACCACACACCAAGACAGGCTGTGAACCCCTAATGAAGCTGAGGTTTCTGGCGAGAACACCACGCCCGCCGTGAAGCAGCCAGGCCTGTGCAGGAACAGGCGGCAGGCCTCGTCTCCAGGCGCCGATGAGGCCTCCCAGCGCCTCCCGCCCCTGGCTGGGAGCACTTACAGGTAGGGGAGAGGTTTTCCCGCCTGTCCTTCATCTCCTGCAGCCGCTTCTCCATCACAAGGTGGTGGCCGCCGCCCGCAGCCCCCGAGGGGCTGTACATCAACGAGCCATTAGATTCAAATAAAAGAACCTCATCTGAAAGGAAATAGTTGAGTTGAAGCCCCCCAAATGCCCGTCTACTCCCACATGATCCCGTGAGAGCCCCCTCCCCCGCCGTGGCCCGGCACGGCCCTCCCCGCAGCAACCCGGCACAGCCAGCTGGGGACGGCCACCGCAGACACGGCACTGAGCACATCTGCCCATTCAGCCAGCCCCCACCCAAGCCCTCCGCACCCAAGGGCTCAGCATCTCCATTGGAGGACAAGACTGAGACACACAGGTCAAGTGATCCTTGCCTGGGTCACAAACCTGCCAGCAGGTGGAGGCAGAGCACGAGCTGGCACCCCCTGGTGGGGCCAGCACAGGCCGCCCTGCTCCCTGGCTTCCCTCCTCTGCTGGAGGCGGGCCAGGCAGCAAGGAGTCCTCTCCTGCAGAGGGAGAGGAGCCGCCCGGCTCCGCTAATTTACTCCTGTCCCTCGGGTCCCTGTATATTTTAGTCACTTTTCTCTAACGGCCTCTCCTCGTTCAACCTCCTGCTGGGGTTCTGCCCTACACGTGGGTCTTTATTTCCTCGTGGAGGCTCCGTGTCATGAAAGCTTGTTTGAACGTGTCATGAAAGCTTGTTTGAACGTACTGAGAGTGCCTGGGGGGTGGGGAGGGGTTTGTCTCTGCTGGGGGGTTATGAGGGTTCCAGAAACTTCTAACCCTGCTCTGCCCTAGCAGACGCACCTGAACTCGGGGTGGGGGTGGAGGACGACTGCGGACTGAGTCCTGTGTGGCACATGCGGTGCGTCGTCCTGGAGCCCAGACCTTGTGCATGTGCAAGAGACCCTCAGGGCCCTGCCCTAGCCCAGCGCAGATCAGGGACCACTTGGGCTACACTCCTTGGCCACGGGTAGGGTGATACTCTCATGCGGCACTGCTCACAACACGGAGACGCCCTTCAGCTGAATCTTTAACAACTAGTTTTTAAAAGGCAGTTTCTACTAACAAAGTCGGCATAGAAAGAAAGCCTCTGGTCTGATCCCGCCAGACCTGCTCAAACGCTCCGTCACCGGCGCAGGAGGAGCCGTCGAGGAAGGATGAAGCGTGTGGTCTGGCTGTGTGGCTCAGGCTGGGGGCCAGGTCAGCCTGGACATGGGTTCCAGCCTGCCCGTGCCGGGGGCGGGGCTGTCCTTCCACCCTGGGTGCACATTCCCCGCATAGCTGGGAAGACGTGGGACCGTGGTTGTGGGGTCACCAAGGGGTGCAGCGGGGTCCCCGCAGGCCGATGCTGGTTGCAGCAGAGTGCACAGGGCAGTGATGAGGGCGGGGCAGGGTCCTGGTGGGCTCCGTGTCGGGCAGAAGGTGTCAGGAGGCGCCACGTGGTGGGAGCAGCTCACAGACCAGAGGGTGCGCGTGGGAGGAGGGTGGGCCGGCTCACACCCACCGGAAACACTGAGAACCGAAGGCCCCAGGTCCCCGTGTTCTGGGGCATCTCCCCAAACCAATAAAAATACACACATCTATGTCCCCTACCATTTGCCTGTTGTGGGCACCCGAACAAGACAGCGTCTGGCACAAAGGTACTGTCACCGAGAAAGTGAGGAAGAAACAGGGCTCTATGCCAACAGCGCTGATCAGCAAACCCCCTCTTTCCACACCATTCCTGGGAGAAAAGCTACACCACACGAGGGAGGCTGGAGGCTGGGGCACAGCGGGCCTGCCCAGGTCCCCAGGGGTCAGCAGGACATCCAGAGGCGAGCAGGGCCGCGGGCGTTTAGCTTACCTAGACTCGTTTTCTGTCTCCGCAGCTCTTTAGCCATCTTCTCAAATTTCTTTTGCAGTCTTTTGTCATTTTCGGGAGTTTTCGGGATAAAGTCTTTGGGCTGCATGCATTTCCGCTGTGCGGGAAGGACGGAGAGAGTGAGCAGGCCCGCCTGGAAGGGCCCTCCCACAGGTGTGACAGCTGCGCCCGGATACCCTGCTGCTCACACAGGGGCTGCCGGCCCGCGTGTACCTGGTGGGGGTCATTTCTCCTCGTGCAGTTGTGAAAATACACGGGCAGAATAAACACTGAAGAAAAGGCCCCAGGTCCCCACATTTCCTGAGGCCTTTCGGGATCCCAGCGTTCTCAGACCCCACGCAGGTCTGTGAGCAACACCAGTCTCTCACCCCAGCGTCCAGCTGCTCTTGCGTTCCCTCCCTGTGCCCCCAACTCACGCTGTGTAATAAGACACAAACGCAGTTTTTATAACCACCAGGGTATTTCGCCTTGCCTTACTGCCTTAAGCCAGTCAGTCCACGCAGCCAGCTAAAGACCAAAAACTGCAACAACACAAAATAGGGGAACTTTAAACTAGCGCGGGCCCCGGTCGGGAGGGAAACAGGCCTCTGGTGCACACCTGTGGCCGCCCCTCCAGCCACCTGCACACTGAGCCGCCGCCAGCTGCCAGCCTGGGCGCTTCACAGGGGCGAGAGGGGTGTCTTCTGTCTGGGCCACTCCAGGTTTTGGGGGGAAGCTGCCAACCCTACTACGTTCAACCCTGACCTCTTCTCTCAGAGAGCCCGTATGTAGCAGGCCTAAGCGGGGCTCCGATCCAATGTGCTTCTCCCTCACTCCTTATCAGCAGGATGTTCCTAGGTGCCAGAGCCTGACTTCCCACAGGAGGCCCTGTCAGCACGCGGCTGACTCAGGACGCTCCCGGGGCACGACAGCACCCACAGACAGCCGTGTGGGCAGTGCCTGGGGCGGGGGTCCGCAGGCAGCACCATGCTGGGACAGAGCCGCTGTGCGGGCGCCAAGCACACCTACCTGTTCCTCACCAGTGGGGGCTCCGTCTGGGGCCACAGTGGGAACAAGGCCGAGGGCCAGCAGAAGGAAAGGCGCCCCCTAGAGTCCTGGCCTGAGGGGTGCGGGTGGGCCTGGCCCTCCCGGGAAGGGCCTTGGTGTCTGGGCAGGTGACTCCCACACTTGGCTCTTTCTCTTCACCCCGACTTTTGCAATCTCCCGGCTAACAGAACAGAGCCACAGCTGCGGGCTGTGCGGTCACAGGGAGCCTGGATGCTGGCCGGGCTCCGGCAAGCTCAAAGGCGTCAGGCGAGGACCTTGACATGGCCGGCAGCAAAACCGAGACAGCTCCTGAGCGTCTTTCTAGGAGTTTCCTTTCCTAGCGTTTGAAAGGCTCAGGCTCACCCCGTGCCGTCCGCGCCCAAAGGCACTCACCTTCCTCCTGACCAGGCCAGGCAGGTGCTTGCTGGTGTCGGCGGCGGGGAACAGCGCCTCGTCCACGTGGGCACCCTCAGTGCGGCACCTGCATGGGGGAGGGGATGGTGAGCACGCGTGTGTGTGTAAGACACACATTCAGTCTGCACATGTGCCGGAACCCACACAGGCCTCTGAACAGACGAGCCTCTTCAACAAGTGGTTTACGTCTAAATCCCAAGTCCGCGTGATGTCGCCTGTCCCAAGTCGCTCTATGTGGTGGCAGGAGCACGCTCAGCTGGAGGCCCTGGGGCAATGGAGGCTGGAGAGCCATCTTCCCTCCCAATCGAACTGAATGCGAACCTCCTTGTGTGCTTCTGTCGGTCCCCAGGTAACCCGGGGCCCCTGCCCCTCTCCCTCACAGTCGCCCCAGGCCCGCCCTCTCCCCACCCACCCCTCCTCTCTGTCAACCCCTGGCCCCAGCAGCCAGCCGGGCGGGGAGGAGCCCAGCACGCAGGGCCCTGCAGGGTAGTGAGCGGCACCTGCACCCTGGGTCCTCATCGCTGTCCCCGCCAGCAGAGCAGGTGCCGGCCAAGCGCTCACCTCCACGCCACAAGCCTCGGAGGCACCTCTGTGCCCGGGGGCAGGCATGGGGCAGCTGCTCTGCAGGGCTGAGAGGGCAGCTGCCACCCACCCCCAGGGCCTGACCTGCCAGGGTGCGGCCTGGGTCTGCAGGGGGGACCCGGGAACCCTCCTGACGCAACCCCCAATGCAGCCACCTCCCGGGGCCATGGGGCGGGGGGCTCAGGGATCTACAGGCGGCCAGGGAGGCCGGCTGCAGCCGCTTCTCCAGAAATGTGACCTGCGGCATCATCTCCCCACCTAGTGGCGGGAAAGGAAAGTGTTTCCAGCCAGGCTGCAAGGCAGAGCCCAGGGGCGAGGCCCACTTCCCTCTGGGGTGCAGGGGCCGCCCAGGGGCGCTGTCCAGAGGAAGCCGGCGAAGAAACACAGCTCAGGCACCACTGGAGCCTGCTGGGGCCATGTCCTGGACCCCGTCCCGAAGGCCCCCAGCAGGCTCCCTAGGGAGGAGGGGACACGGGCCTCAGTCCTGACAGAGCGGGGCCCACACTTCCACACGCGTAGAGAAAAGGTGAAGATCCATGCTCCAAACGCTCAGTGGTAGGTCCCCCAGCTCGGGGGGTGGAAGACAAGGCTGGAGGTGGGTCAGGGCCGGGCTTTTCACTTTGAGAATACACACGTTTAAACAGAAACACACTGAACACAAAAGAAGGCTGATGTTTTCAAAACAGCAAAGGGAAAACTAAAAAATCAGTGACTGCCTGTGTGTAATTAAAGCCTCACTGCGTTACAACCAGCAACTACGAGCAAGGCCGTGTGCTACAGATGTGCTTCAGGTCCCCGGAACAGGACCTCCGGAGACCACCTTTGGTCAGAGTCACCAACACTGGAAGTGGCGTGGGCTCCTTGAGAAGCAGGGCTGAGTGGGGGGGGGCGGGACAGAGAAGGGGAGCCCAGCAGATGAGCGCGAGCAGCCGGGCTCCCGGGAGCAGGCTAGAGCGAGACTCCCCCAGGGCCCGCCCAGGCCCCGCGGGCACTCAGGCGCCCACAGCTGCCCACTGCTGCCCACACATCCCCAGGCCTAGCAGGGCCGTTCGTCAGCAGCCTCCCCTCCACGCCCCTTCCACCTCTGCTGGGAGCGCCAGCCGCTGCCGGAGTCTCCTCTGCCTTCTCTAGGCTGGCTCTCCAGGCTTCTGCGAAACCTCCCCCCGGGCAGGGCTGTCAGGACAGACATTATGGGCACCCACTGAGAGGCAGGGACATGTTAGCCCCAGAGTGGAAACACAACATAAAACCAGTCAAACGTGGCATCGGTAGAGGGAGAGACGGGAATGCTCGAGTGGGAAGGCAGGCAGCGGGGCGGATGGACGGGTGGACAGGTGAGTGGAACAAATGAATCGAGTTCGCACAGCACAAAAGGACCTGGGGCCGAGAGACGTCCCTAAGGGCAGAGAGCCCGCCTGGCAGTGACCCCTGCACGTGCCGGCCACGGAGTGAAGGGCCTGGCAGGAGGCGGGCGGGGTCAGGTGGGGCAGAGGGCTGGAGGCTTGGCCCCAGAACACCAGCCAGCCGAGCGCAGCCATGCCAGAGCCCAGGAGGTGAAATAAGGGAGATAGACGGGCTGGACAGACGGACATGGACCACGCAGCAGCGTCAGGCTTGGCGGGAGCGTGTGTGCAGGCGTGTGCTGGTGCGGGCGTGTGTGTGGGCGCAGGCGTGTGCTGGTGCGGGCCTGTGTGGGGGCAGGGTATGCTGCTAAGTGTGTGCATGGGCATGTGCTGGTGCGGGCGTGGTGTGTACACAGGCGTGTGCATACGGGTGTGTGCTGGTGCAGGCGTGTGTATGAGGCGTGTGCTGGTCGAGCGTGTGTGCGGGGCTGTGTCCAGTGAAGCATTAGCAGTGGGCACTGAGGTCTGGATCATGTAAGGTTCATGCATCATTAATACTGATGTCCTCTCTTACAAAAAGAGGCCCAAGAAGGAGCTCTTCACGCTGGGGCTCCACCAGACTGGACACCTAGCACAGGGTCAGCCTCTCCAAAGTGCCCCGAGACCAATCAGTCCGGGGTCTCCTGACCAGCAGAAGGTAGCTTGACCTGAAACCACCTTTTCTTTTATCAATAAGCCTGCCCCACACTTTTTGTCTAAAAATATACTCCACTTTGGCTAAGCCCTTGACTACAACGGATGCCACCCAGCTCACGAACCAGTTAATCCCAAAATTTGTGGATTTGGGTTTTTAATAAAGACTTCAAATCAATAATCTTATCTACCTGAAGAATTAAAGAGCAAACTGAACCCAAAGTAAGCAAAGGAAGAAAACAATGAAGATTAAAATGCAAATAAATAGGAAAGAAAAGTCAATGAAACCAAAAATTGGTTCTTTCAAAAGATCAATGAAATTGATAAGCCTTTAGCTAGACTGATCCAGACCAAAAAAAAAAAATTATTAAAATCAGGAATGACTGCGGCTGGTGTATGGAAATAAACAGGGTAATGAATTACTACGGATAAATTTATGTCAACAAATTGATAACCCAGATGAAATGGGACAGATACTTCTAGAAAGGCACAAACCACTTAAATTCACTGAAGAAAATAAAAAATCTGTGACAGACCTATAACAAGATCATTGATCAAAAATCTTTCCACAAAGATAGTCTGACGTGACTTCACTAGTTAGTTCCACCAAATGCTAAAAGAGGAATGAACACCATTTCTTACAAACCTCAAAATACAGACGCACACACCTAACTTACTCTGTGACGCCGGCACTGCCTTGGTATCAAAATGAGAGAAAGTCATCACAACCAAACTGCAGACCAACGCGCCTCACCAACGCGCCTCACGAACACACGGACGCCACAGGAGCCGGCCGGGGTGAAGCAGCAGCAGCGCACGGCCCCACCGAGCTCGAGGCTGCTCGCCACAGGATGTGGGCCTGACCACCCCGCTAGGAGAACGAAAGACAAGACCACACGAGCATCTCGACAGACGCAGAAGCAGCCTCCACCGAATCCAGCACCATTTGGTGATAAAACCAATTAACCACCGACAAAAGACAACAAACAAACAAACTAGGGGTGGAAGGAAATTTCTCACCTGGACCAAAGGCCTCTACAGCTACCACCAGACTTAGCAGCGTCCACTCGTCCACCTGACCGCTCTTCCAGACCCTGCGTCCAGGGCTCATGTCCCCCACCTGCCTTTCCGCCACCGACTGCTGGAGGGGCCCCGCCCGCCTGAAAGCTCCCACCCGCCCCCATCCCACACTACCCTCTCATCACTTCAGAGCGGGGCTGACAATCACCCGCCGACTGCGCCTCACAGCCCAGCTCTCCCGAACCCCACACGCACAGACCCCACAGCTTGACCTCTCACCCGTGTGCCAAAAGCACGCCCCAGACTCAGCGCGTCCAAGAGATGACCCCCCCGCCCCGAGGGCTTTGTCCCCAAATCTGGTCCTTCTGAACCCTTCCCATCTGAGCAAACTCCCAGCCTGCATCACCCCTCCCCTGCCACACGCCCCCGTCCCGGCCCTGGTTACTTGCTGTGGCAGCCGGGACGGAAGCGCAGCACCCTCCTCGCTAGGCCTCCCAAGCACAGCCCCAGCAACCCCTCGGCAGGCTGCAGTGTGGTCACTGCCCTGTGGGTGGGTGAGAATGATGCTCTGACCCATTCCCGCTGCAGAAAGGGGCCTGAGCGTGTGCCAGGCCCCGCCCTGGGAGAGCAGCGCAGAGGGGGTGCACAAACCCCCGCCCCTGAGCCAGGCAGGCCTCCGACGCTTCAGCAGCACTGGACAGCGGGGGGACTTACTTCTCGACCCAGAGCACCGAGACCAGCTTCGCGCCCGTCCTCCGCGCCCGCTCCCAGGTGCTGGGGTACCCGTCCTTGAACACAACATGAGTGACGTGTTTGTTCAGAGTTTTTGAAACCTGTAGACAAAATGCAGAGGAAGAAAAGTAAATTATTACTAGCTGCACAGTTTCGCAGGCACGGCTGGTGAAAAAGGGGACTGTCCATTCAAAATGAAAGTGCCCAACCCCTCCCCCATCACTCAGTGCTCCGGCGGTCAGGGACACCCTTCAAGGGCCTGCACCCCTGAATCCTACCACTTTGTAAACCAACACTCCCTCACCACGAAGAAAAAGAAACTACAAAACGCATCACACACATTATCTCTGTGCTCACTGCCCTGGCGGGGGCCCGCAAAGGGACAGGGACAGGGGAGGGAGCCAAGTGCCCCGGGACTGAGACTTCAAGCAAAGCTTTCCCCACCAAAGACACACTCGCGGGCAAACCGCAAAGGGGACGCGCCCGTAATTAAAATGAAAATACTTACGTGGTGCCTTTGGAAAGTAAAAATTAACATTTATCTACTATCTTCAGGAGATAATGTACTTGTGCCACAATATCTACAATAGCCATTTTTTTATTTTATTTTTTTAAAGATTTATTTTTATACAAGAATTGGGGTACAGGCCAGAGATCCTCTCACCAGAGGATTCACCAGAGCCAGAGCGGGGAGCAGAACAGGCAGACTGACAAAATCCACTGCTGAGGGGAGCAGCGGGCGCGACAGGAGCGGTCTGCCCGGCCATGCGGGTTTCTCCCAGGCTGGCCGGGTTCGACCCTGTACCGCAGAGGCTGCTGCTGCGCTCACCCCGCCGGGTCACCTCACGGGGAGGCCCCCTGCGGTGTTTTAAAGGCCCACCCGCCCTCTGGCTTGTTGTCCTGGCCTCGGTCTGTCCCTGGCCCGCTGCCTTCACCTTCCCCGAACCCGTTTCTTTCCAACCACCCGGGTCACCGTCCACACCCGTGGGCACCCGGGCCTCGCAGGACACTGTCTCCAGCCCGACCATCTCCGCTTCCGAATACGGACACCGCGCGTCTCGGGCATTTTTTATACACCCAAACGCGCCACCTTTCTCGTAAAAACCTGTCCTCGCGGGGACTAACGACGCCGGAGAGAAGCCAAGAAGCCGCGGGCAGATCCTGTCTTGCCACCGGGCGCTCCTCGCCCGTCACCGAAGACCCGCTGTTCCCTCATCGCGACTCACCGAGGGCTCCACACCTGCGTCTCCCGGCCCTGCCACCTGCCCTCGGCCTCACCCGGGAGCGGCGCCCCGACAGACAGCGCCCTCGCCCCCCACGGAGGCCTGGCGCGCCCCTTACCTTCGCCCCCATGTCCACGAGCTGCTCTGCGAACGCCCTGGAGTAGTTCTCCGCGCCGGTGGCCGACCACACCTCCACGTAGGCCACCACACCTGCGGGCAGGCTGCGTGAGCGGGGCGCGCGCCCAGGTGTCCTCCCGCGGGGTTGGCTCCCCAAGTGCGGGGATCCTTCCACTAGCGGCCTCGCGGGCGGCGGCGGCGCGACGGGGGCCCCCAAGATCTCCGGGACCCGCTGCTCCGGGCGCGGCCCTCGGGCCCCCGCCCCCCCCCGCCCCCAGAGGCGCCCGCGAGGAGCCCACACTGGCCGCGACCGCCAGGCTGCCCGGCCCGAGCCCGGCCGAGGAGGCGCCGCTGTGCCCCGGGCTCTCCCGGCCCTCGTCCGCCCCCCACTTTAAAAAGTGAAAGCAGACCCCCCCCCCTCCCCCAGTCATCCCCGAGGGGCTCGCCCCGAGCATCTCTGGGGCAAGGCGGGGGGGGGGGTGGGGGCGGCCCCGCGGGGGCCCGAAGGGTTGGGGGGCGCCGGGGGGAGGGCGGGGGCGCGCACCTGAGGGCAGTGGCGGAGCCGCGGCCCTTCCCCGCCTCGGTGTCCCCGCCGCCCGCCCGGCCCCCGCCCTGGCCCGTCCCGGGGGCCGACCTCGCCCGGGGGCCCTCGGGGCCACCCCACAGCCCCGCCTCGGTTTCCCGCCGTCACCCCGCGGAGCGCCCCGAGCGCCGGCGCGGCGTCGCCCCGACTTCCAGCGCCCCAGGAGCCCAGCTCGAGGCCCCCGCCCGCCCCCCCCCCCCCAGCGGAGGGCACCGGCTCCTCACCCGGCAGGACCGGGGCCCCGGGAGCTGCCGGGGCCGCCATGAGGCGCCCAGTCCCGGGGCCGCGCTGGAGCGCACTGGGCATGCGCACACGGAAGCGCCGCTCCCGCCCGGCGTGGCCCGGTCCGGGTTTTCCAAGCAGCCCGGGGGAAGAAACCCGCCTTGACCCCGCCCCCGCGGAACGCGGGGAAGCAGGCCGGCGCCGGTCAAATCCCCGCCCACCGCGCTCTCGCCTGCCGCGCCTCACCTGCACGCACCTGCACGCACCCGCACGCACCTGCAGGCACCCGCACGCACCCGCACGCACCTGCGAGCGCGCGACTCCCCGGGTGAGTGCGCGCGGAGACCCTGGTGAAAGGTCCATGCAGGGGCCGGAAAGCAGGAGCCAAGCAGGAAGCCCACCTGGGGGCAGGAATGCGGACACCCGCCCGGAGGACTCAGACAGTGAGCCTCCCCCTCCCCCCACGAGTCTCGGCTCCGACAAAGCACCTCTACCTGCCCTACAAACTTGTCCCGCCGGACGAGCCCGACTACCCGCCTGAGCCTCCTCGCCCTGCGAACCCGCCTCCCCGGCGACGCGCGGCCCCGACCCGCCCGGCGCAGTGAACCCGCCCTCCCTGTGAGGGCTGCAGCCTGCTCTCCTCGTCTTCACCGCGCCGCGCCTTTCACCTGGCACGCACGACCGCGTCGCCTCCGATCCCGACCCCCCGGGAGCCGGCGCTCACATGGGGGACCCCGGAGTTCACATGGGGGACCCCGGCGCTCAGACCCACCGGGATCCCAGACAGCAGATACCTCGGGGAGCCCCAGACCTCGCATGGGGGTCCCCGGGCCTCCAACCTGTGGCGACACCCCAGACCTCCATCCCCAGGGAGGCCTCTGACCTAAGGTCCCTCTGGGGGGACACGCGGGTTCGGGGCCCGCGGGGCGGGTCCCCCTGACCCAGGCTCAGATCCCACCAATGCCCCTGCAGCGAGTGCCCGGAAGGCCGTGCAGGCCGGAAATCCCGGAGCGGATCGCACAGGCCGGAGCGGCGAGCCGGCGGCCCAGGCAGCCCCGCGGCCCGGCCGCTCCGCCTCCGGCTTCAAACCTCCCGCCACCCGAGCCCCGCCCCGGCCCGCCCCCGGCTCTCCCCGGCCCCGCCCCCGGCTCTCCCCGGCCCCGCCCCCGGCTCTCTCCGGCCCCGCCCCCGGCTCTCCCCGGCCCCGCCCCCGGCTCTCGGGGGTCCCGCGGGCCAGGCCCCGCGGGTCCTGGGGGCGGGGGCGGGGCGGCGCTCTGCGGAGCCCCGCGCGACGCCCGGAGTCAGGGGGCGCGGCTCCGGAGCTGAAGAGCGGCTCGCGGGTCGGGGGTTGTCTCCGGGGAGCGCGAGCGCCGTCCCCGGGCCCTCCCGCCCGGCGGCTCCCCCGAGCCGGGCCCGCCCCCGAGGCCGGCGGACACCTGGGGCGCCGAGCGGACCTGGCGGGGGACGCGTGTCTGTCGCGCGAGCGCCCTGGGCCCACGAGCCCCTGACCCCGCGGGCTCCGGCCGGGCCGGTCGGGGCGGGGTCCCCCCCCCCCCCGGGCCTTCCGGGGTTCGGTCTGTCCGCAGGGGGGAGTCACCTGCCAAGTGGCCGCCCCTGAGGTGCGCGTTCTCGTGAAAACTCCTGGAGCACCTGCCGCCTGAGTCTCACAGTTTCCTGCTATTTGGGGGACTTCATTGTCGCCACCGGGAGGAGGGGGGCGGGGGGGCGGGGGCCGGGGCTCCCTTCCCCCAGGCCCCGCGGGGGCCGCGTTATCAGCTTCCCCGTGTTTGCTGCCCGGTCCCCCCCGCAGCCCCGCCGGCAGCGCCGGCACCCGCCGATCCGGCCCTCCTCCCTGGGCGGCCAGCGTGTGTTGGGGTACCGCGTTCCTGCCCCCCTTACACGCAGCCTCCTTGAGCTGGGACTCGGGCGGGGCTGAGCGCGGGGAGGCCTGTGGCTCGGAGGGAGCCGGCGGGGGACTTAGGGGGTGCCTGACGCCGGCGGCGCTGCCTTACACGTGTGCCAAGTGCTCGGTGCCAGCAGCCCCCTGTGGGTGCACCCCGCGGAGTAGACACTCCCCACAAGGGGTCGGGTCGTTTGGGTGTTTCGCTGGGAAACTTTCCTGGGAGCTGCTCCCCCCCCCCACCCCCCGCAAGGCCACCAACTGGCGGGGCGCCTCCCACTAAAGTCCCATCCTCTGCCTGCGCGGCCGGTGGCGATGGCGGGTGGTTCCTGCTCCAGAGGGCGCCGCTCCCTTGGGCTCGGGTCTCCGGGCGCCCCCTGGTCAGGAGCCAGCACTGGAGCGGGAACCCAGGGGGCTTAGGTGTTTCCGCTGAACCCAGAGGCGGGTGCGCACCAGCAGCAGCTGCCGCAACAGCCCCTTCGGCCTAACCCCAACCCCAGCCCCTCAGCTGTGCTTAGTGGGCCCCTGCGCGCCCTGAAGAACCCCCTTCAGCATGTGCGGCCCAGCCCGCGCGGTGGGCTCACCTCGGGTCAGTCCGTACGGCACTACCACAAATGACTGCCTGGGAAGCTGGACACTCAGGAGAGGGCAGCGCTTGGCTGGGCGGGCGAGCTGAGGGTGGCCGAGCTGAGGGTGGCCAGGGAGGGTTTTGCTCCCTGAGAGAGGCAGCTCAAGGAGGTGCAGAATTCCCTGGCGAGGAATGAAGGACTCAAGGGGATCGCCTTTGATCAAGGTGGTGCATAGGGTTCATTATTTGAGGTTCTTGAGCTTCATGGTCACAAATGTTGTCTCCCATGACTTCTTGCAGGGATATTACAGGTTTAGGTTCTACATTCAGATTTAGGAACTATTTCGAGTTAATTTTTGTGTAAGGTACAAGACAGGGACCAAAGCACGGCTTATTGAAAACTCCCCCCCTGCACCACGGCCTCTGCTCCTTGGTCAATCAGCTGTTCCTTACGTGTGGGTTTAGTTTTGGGGCTTCCGACTCTGTGTCATTGAGCAATTTGCCTGTTTTTATGCCAACACCAAGCTGATTCCCTGACTATAGCGATATAAATAAGTTGTAAATCAGGTAGTGAGGGTTTTACGATGGTACTTTTTCAAGGGTGTATATATTCTTGATCCTTCTTATTTCCATACGCACCTTAAACTCAGCCTGCCATTTTCTACCAAAAAATAAGATGAAGCAGATGGGGTTTTGATTGGGGTCGTGTGGACTCTGCACATCTACGGGGGGGGGTGGGGAGGATGGGATGGAGCTGACCTTTCAGCTATGCAGTGTGTGGTTCTGAACTGAATCACAGACCAGAAAAATTCTTAAATTTTTTTTTTGAAGAATATTGGTGGGACAACGGGTGCAATTTGGAAAAGGGCCCTAGATTAGCTACGAGTATCATCTAAGTGTTCAGTCCCTGGGTGTGATCATTGTGCTGTGCTTAGGAAAATGTCTTACTTTAGGAAAATCCTTTTTTGTAAATTCATGTTCACAACTTCCTCAAATATTTCCGGGAAAAAGGGTAATGCACACACAAATACACTGAAATATGTCAAGAGGGAAAATGATTAAAACCAATGTGGTAAAATATTAACATCTGGGGAATCTGGGTAAACAACCGGTGGGAATTCTGGGTACTATTTTTGTATTTTTCTATAGGCCTGAAATTCTTTCCAAATAGAAACGTTAAAAAAAAAAAAAAAAAAAAAGATGGCAGGAAAGTAGCTGCGAGGGCTGGACTGCTCTTCGCCCGGGTCCCGTCTCTCACCTCGAGGCGGCCTGGGCGCTGGGCAGCCGTGGCCTCGAGCTCCCCAGGGCAGCGCGGCCAGGTGGACAACTCAGCGCGCGTGAAGGAGGCCAGAGATCAGCGGAACTGCTAGCACGTCCCTGCCTACATGGAAAAGCAGTTCCTCCTGCAGTTTCCAGCCGTCTCCGTGGAGGGCGGTTGGCATCCAGGGAAGCGCCGAGGTAAAATCCTACGTGAGGAGAAACTATTCCTCATAGAAACCAGGAAACGAGCGATGTTCACTGTGTCCACAGCCGTCTCTGGCATAAGGGGTTTGATTCAGTGCGGCTCTGAGGGTGACTACAGAGCTCTCGCCAAAATAAAAACGCTCACCCGAGCCACAGCACATTGAAGAAGACGCATCCCGACACCAGAAAATACCCCCTTGACCCCACATGTCTGCTGCACAGACCAGGGGATTACGGCGAAGGCCTCCGAGTCGCGGGGCCCGGTAAGTTGGCATCATCCTAAAACCTGGCCTGTTGCTGTTGATCACGGCTTGCTCGCTTTTTAAAAAGTAATTTTCTTTTCATTTAACAATTCTCAAGATAGGAGTTTCCCCAGCACGTCCCCGGGGGCAGGAGCAGGTTAGTCTTTAGATAAGGGGGAAGGAGCCTCTGCTCACCTGCCTCAGTAGCTCCTTATCAGGAGAACCTGCCTTAAGACTGACATTTCATGACTGAGAGCAAAGTCTGTGGAAATTCATGAGCTCCCAGGGATGTGGCCGTGGCCCCAGCAGCCTTTCTCTCCCGCACTGGCAATGCCGGGCGGGCTCTGGGAGGCCTGGCGTGCCCGGGAGAGGCGGGGGTGCCGTATCCAGAAGCGGGTGTCGGCTTCATTTTCCCTCTCCACAGAAGGGGCAAACATGAAAGGCGTGTCTCTCTAGCAGGACTTACTCGCAAGAAAGGGAAACAGACTAGAAAGCCCTTTAATACACAGGCAGGGCCAAGGAGAAGCTGCAAATATCAACTTTGTGGGGCGCGCTGGGCTCGGCGGGTGGCTTGGCCGCCACTCCAGAGAAGCTGCCAGAGCTCCGCCAGGAGCCAGCGTCTGGAGACGCCCCGCAAGCAGGTCAGATCAAAGGCCCGGGCTTCAGAAGGAAAACCCCAGGGCCCGAGTCTGATGTTCCCTCTGGAATCTTCCATCCTCAAGAGCCCGGTGCAAACTTTTAGGGCAGAAGTGGAGCTGGGTTCCCCGGGAGCTCATGGATTTCAAAGGCGGGGTGCAGATCACGGGCTTACACGTGGCCTGGTGGTGTTTCTACGAAACCAAAATACAAGACAGAATAAAAGGCCGTGGAGGCGACGCGCGAGTATCAAATCAAACAGGAAGCGTTGCTTCTGGAAACAGAGCTCTCCAGTTGCCAATATTGGAAGTGACGATGGCTGGTCATAGCAAAACTTACATTTTTTGGAAGAAAGGTTTTCTTATGTGCTTCCTAATGAGGATTCTTCGGTGATCTAGAATAGCATAGGGTGGACAAACATGAAAGACACGAAGCGCCGGGAACACAGGAACACACAAGCTGAGATGAGAGTCCCTGGAACGGGGGAAAAAGCCGGGAAACCGAAGGACCTGAAATGGTGAAACAGCAAACACGAACCATTTTAGTGAGGATCCATCTCCTGCGGGGCCTCCACGACCTTGTTTCATGACTTCGCTCCGTTGGTATTTTGGTGCTGCCCCGCAGCTCTGGAGAGGGAAGCTTGATAGCTCCCTGCAAAGTCACATTCTCCCTGGGACGTTACTGCATTACCTGTCTGTTCTCATTCCAGTGAGTTCCAACATGAGGCTGGCCGGAGGAAGGCTACCTTCTGAGGGAAATTTTCACCTTGACGGGTCACTTTTCCGACGTGCTAAGAAACACGGAGCCCGTGGTCTCCGTTCCCCCAGGAAGATGCGAGTCCCGGCCGGGGCCCGGCTCTGCCGCCTCCTGCGTCTGGAGCCAGTGAAAATTGTTCCTGCTACTGCAAGCGCTCCGTGCTTTTGTTTACGTGTTTTTGTTTTTTTCTTTTTTTTTTTGCATGCTAGCTGTCTTGTCCTTGGCTGTATGCAGAGACATGTCTTTTTCTAACGTCCTGAGGCTGGTGGGAGTTGTGGGGGGAGCAGGGTCTTGAATCCACAGAGCACAGAGGACTTCTGGGGCGGGGAACTGCTCTTTGTGATGCTGCGATGGGGGTACATGCCATTAACCCTTGAGC